CAGCAAAAACGGTAGCTTGAGTATCATCATGTTTGCATTGACTGGTTCCACAGGGTGATGCAGGTGGTCCCGTCTGTACTGCACACACAGTGGGTCAGGATACAGGAGAGGAACGCTGGGTCTGGAAAAGCGCCCTCTTTCCAGCAGCCTTGGTCTGGGAGCAGAGGTTCCTGAATCTTTCAAGGTTGTGTTTGCAGAGAGGAACCTTGAGAAATGTCCCAGATAAGAAGTGGTTAGGGCTTTGCATTCTTGGCATAACCAGTAAGATATTTAAGAGCTTGAGAGAGTCATGGAATAGTGTTTCCTAAAGGTAGAGACGGTAGCTAGATGCGGACATGGTACTTTGTATTGTGACAATAGCGGAACAATAAAAAGCAGACACAAGAACTCTAACATTTTACCTCGCTGGGTCCATTTGGTATTAGAGGTGAGTCCCCTCCTTGGCCTCCACTGAACTGAGATGGGAATTCACAATGAAACCATGAATTATCTAATAAAAAAGTCCAACCACTTAGGAAGGCAGGAAATACATGAAAACACAATACATTTCATGGAACTTCTATCTAAAACTACTTTAAATAAAGATTTGGCTCCTAAAGAAATAAAATTCAGAAATCTAGAAAGTTAGTTACACGGAACTACTCAATCCTTGATAATGGTGGATAAACATGCTTAAATCACTGTGAGATTTAAGGTAGTGCTATGAGGCCAAGGTCGATGTGTATCCACATTACTAACAATTGTATCTGTCACATACTTGCCAGATGCTGACATATATCTCTTTGACTACTGATTGCCATACTTTAAATACATTTTACATTTTATCCACCTTGACATTGTTAGACACTGCTACGGTTAGCAGCTCTTCCCCTTCATCATCAGTGATGTGACCCTCAGTGATGGCTGTTTGGTACTTAACTCAGCCCTTTGTTTCGACATCGCTGATAACAGCCACACAGTCACCCATGATATGATCTGAGTCCCTTATTGTTGGACATTTACATTATTTCTAGTTTATGTTGTTATAAAAATGCTGTACTAAATAGCCCTATTCCAAGATCTTTGCCGACAGCCACAATAATTTCCTTAATGGGAATGACTGGGAGTGGGGGAGTGGCCGCGGGAGAGGGGAATGCCAGAGGAGAAGATAAACAAGGCTTTTAAGGCTTCAGACACGCAGCTTTAGGTTGTCCCGGTGAACATTTCTGCCACAGGTAGGTGGCAGTTCTTATCCCTCACTTCCTCATTAACACTGAGTATTAATTTGAAAAAAAAAAGGTGAGGTTTAATTGCATCCAAGTGGAAAAGACATCTTCGCTTGGGGAGTGGCGGAGTGACTGTGCAAACACAGGCATGTGGAGTGAGAGCATCGCTAGGTTTGTGCTGCCTCCTCGTGGCACCTAAACACCCGATGAGACAAAACAGTCCGATTGAAAACAACTGAACAAGGCATGAATGTTAATGTATTTATTGCCAATTCTGGGCAGTGAGTGGCAGAAATGCAGAAAACAATGGACATGACTTCAGGCTGCTGGGGGATATGGCAACTAGAGGAAAAATATTCTTACCCATAAATACATCGCACATGGCATGACATGCATTATGCAATGAGAAAGGATTTATTAAACTGAATGAGAACTTGAGAAATTGATGTTAAAATGGAGGATTCCGAGGAGGGGTCCTTATGCAGCTTCCTTGAAGGGACAATGGAGATGACTGTATTTTATGTGTTTATTGAATAATATCTTTTTCTCCCACAAGATGGGGAAAGCAACGGGGCACCAAGAAATTGAGCTCTTTCCACAGCTACTGGTCTGCGGCTGTTCTGATGGTGGCATTCCTCTGTGGGAAAGGAATTGTTGCACAGTTAAACACCTCTTTCTTAGCAAAGCAGAAAGTGGGCAGTGTGTGACAGACACAGGGAAAAAAGAGATGAAGAGGTCTGCCCCATGTCTGTCTTCTATGGTAACAGTTTCACTGAAAAGAAAATTCTTAATAGTAATTACGTACTCTGGATCTTAGATTGGTTGGGCGAAGCAGGGTTAATTTTACTTAATTTTTTCCCATTGCAATTAAACCCCATTTTATACCCCCTTCAACGCTCCCTTCCCTTCAGTCACCACACTAGACTGTGTCCATGAGTCCTTCCCTGTCATCCTGCTCTGTCAGTCTGTCCATATTTTGCTTGTTAGTGCAGTTTGTTCATTAGATTCCACACGTGAGTGAAATCGTGTGGTGTTTGTTTTTCTCCGACTGGCTTATTTCACTTAGCATAATGTTCATTTTACTTTTGTATTGTTCCCGTGTGCAAAACACTGTGCTCCCTAGTAGGGACCAAGGAGGGAAGAGTTGCAAGGACAGATGCCACAGCTGCTGCTCTACAGGAAGTTGTTAACCCACTGCTGATCTGCAGAGTTCCATCCTCTGCTCTGCTCACCTGTTCCCCGTATTCCCATCCACTCCCAGGGCTGCCAAGGCCACCAGCACAGTCGTGCATCTGCTCCTTCGAACTTTCATTTAAGACTCACTAAGGAAAAGCAAGATGCTCAGTGTTGTTTCTACGAAATTCGATGTAGTAGGAGAGACAGACACCAAATAGTCACAGAAAGACATGTATTTGCACACTGTGATAAGTAAGGGAAACAGTCTGGGTTGCTAGGAGAAAATATAAGTTGGTAGTTCAATGGTACTTTTTTTTTTGTTCTCATATCCTTAATGCTCTCATATCTCCAATGATGAATTGATAAATTGAGGACTTGACTGGCTTCTTCAATCTAAATGTAAGGACACAGAAGGTTAGAGGCAAAATGATAGAAAATGATAAACCAAGGCAAATACCAGCTTCATGAAAGTTGGTGTGGTTAAAATCAATACCAGGCAAAATAAGACTTGAAGGGAAAATTTTTCTGGACAGGAAGCAGGTCATGATAAATTGATAAAATGGCAAATCCATCAGACAGAAGTTTGAAATCTTTATGTATTTTATAACTTACATTCAAAATATATAAGGAAAAAACTGGCAGGCTTACAAGAAGCTGACCAAAATCACTTTCTGTAACTGATACAGCCGATGAAAATGTCAGTAAGCATGCAGAACACTTGGACACAATGAGCGGTTTGATTTAATGGCTATGTATTTAAAAAAATGGCTGGACACTGAGCCATGAAGCAGTCTCAAGAAATTCTAAGTAATTGGTGTAAGACAGACCACATTTTCTAATCATAATGCAATTAATGAAAGTCAGCTCTAAATGAGTGTTAAAAAGCTCACAATATATTTCCATAGGTCTAGAAATTAAAACATTATCTTTGAGCCATTGACTACAAACAAATCTGTATAGGAATGAGAAAGACTTAAAACTGAAAATAATGGTGCCATAAAAACAAAGAATACAACTAAAGCAGTACTTACAGAAAGGTTAAAATAACAGCAAATACTCAACAGAAGAAGTTGAAAATAAGTACTGTGATATAACTAACTCAAAGAAAATTTCAAAAACAAAAGACTGCAGATAAGGAAATATGAAGTAGAAAACATTCAGAACAAGAAAAACCATTTGAGGAGATGAACAAGGTTTGTCGAGAAGAAAAGTGAGAAGACATGAAAAAATACAGAGTAAAGGAAGAAATGGTCACACAAATTTAAAAATAATATGCTTGTATTATTAAAACTGTATATCAATAAATTAAAAAAGCTAGGGGAAATAGATAAATTGATAGAAAAGTAAAATGACAAAATTCATGCAGGGAATAGAAAACCCAACTAGACTTGTGAGCTCGGAAGAATTTACATGCAAGTCAAAGATTGTGTCTGCTCCAAAGTCCTCATGCCGAGGTGACTCTATAGCTGAGTTTCTGTTCTTTCGAGGAAATGCAATTAGCGAGTAATATAAATTGCTACAGAATACGGAAAAATGGAGCTCAGAGCTCATTTACTGAGGAGACTTGTGCATTTTTTCTTTATTTTTATTTATTGTTGACACTATTACAAATGTCCCCATTCTCCAGTGTCCATCCAGGCCCCCCTCTTCCCTCTGGCCATCACCACCCTGTTGTATGTGTCTATGGGTCACGCATGTATGTTCTTTGGCTAATCCCTTCCCCTTCTTTCATCCAGTTCCCTCTCCCCTCTGACAGCTGTCAGTCTGTTCCATATGCCCATGACCGTGTTTCTATTTTGTTTGTCGTATTATTTCATTCACTAGAGTCCACATGTGAAATCATATAAATTAACTTTTTTCTTTACCTCTGGAAATCTCAAATTCACAGGAAAGGTACAAGAAGAGTAGAAAGGACTCGCCCCCCCCCCCCCGTGACTTGAGGGTAAAGTGCTGATGACTGCCAAGTCATCCCCAGCACTTGGGTGTCTGTTTTCTACAAGCAGGGGCTTTCTCCTGAATAAGCCAAAATTCGTGCTGGGTTCAGGAAATGAGCATGATAAATTACTACTATCTAACGCATAGACTCCATTCAAATTTCTCCCAAATAGAGAAACAGAATTAAATGCAATAACATTCATAAATCCCGACTCACAGATGTTCACTACATAGCCATCACTTTCACTAATCCGTGAATTTGCTGGGGGCCCCAGGGTTTCTACCTCGGGCAGCGGCAATCCGTGCTCTGCAACCTTTGCCCAACAAGACAAATGGGGCGACCCCACCGTGATGTGCCACGCCCACATACAAGCTACAGCCTCTCCAACACTCTAGCCCAGGCACGCCCCCCCCACCCCTACCCCCACCCCTACCCCCACCCCAATAAGGCTCTGACCGAGGCTTTAGCCTCTTCCTGAGACAAGGCTGTGAGATGGCCCATCTGGAGCTCGGAGCTCAGATGGGGCACAGCCCTTCCTGGGCCCCATGCTGCAGCCTCACCTCCCAGGTCTTAACCGGGTCGGCGAGTTGGGGGTGGGGCGGGAAGAAGTGCAACCAGTGGCGAGCTTGCTCTGTGCATGCGCCCTGGGGCCTGCAGGGGGCGAGACGGGAACTTCAAGTTTGCCGCCATCTTGGGCCCTGGCACCTTCTTGGAGCTTTGGGAGGAGCAGGCTGACCCACGCTGGGAACTCAATGTAAGTCCAAGCTGTAGCTGTTTAGGGAGCGGGCGTTACCGTTCCTCCCTGTGGTCCCTTGAGCCCTGTGCCTTTGGCCTCAGAAGAGTGGCCCCAGCTCTCAGCCCCCTGTGGCCGGATGCCCTTGGCTCCTGCCGGCCTCCCTGCCTCCTAACGGCCTCTGCGGCTCAGCCCGGGTGGGTGGGGGCGCTGGGTTCAGAGCGGGTTTGCCCTGGGTAGGCTCGGGGGCCTCTTTTTATGCCTGGAGAGCCAAAAGCCTGAAGTCGGGGTGCGGATGCGCTCTTCGGAAGGACCTTGTTTTTGCTGAGCCACTTCGTTGTTGAAATACTTCAGTACACCTTCAGAAATAACTTTGTACCGTTTGGAATTTAAAAACAGAAATAGAAGCCCGGGCAGCATGTAAGCTAAGAAGAAGATCACGTTAATCCGGCGTCAGTTTTGCCAATACCGTCCCCTAACTGACCCTTCATTGGGGCGTCTATTGGCCCCACGCAGGTACACGCCCCGCCCCCGCCCCTCACAGGCACCCTTCTCGTGCTGCAGGTGCGTGACTCCCACCCTGCCCAGCCCAACCGGTGCCAATAGATTCAGCTAGCTGCTTTTTATTAGTAATTAAAAGAATAAAAGAGCTCTATAATGTATTCAGATGTTCCACCATTAATAAGCATTTGGATTGTGTGGTGTGTATGTGTGTGTGTTTTATGGCTTCCCTTAGAGTATAATCGAAGTGCACCGGTCTGCACATTAAGTGTAGAATTTGGTGACTTTTAACACGTGCCTACATGCAGGAAGGCACTGTACTCAAGACAGACATCACCATTACTCCCCAAGGTTTCTTCTGGGCCCTAGCTCACAGCACGGAACTGCTTTCTGTAATTATAGGTTAGTTTGCATTTTCTAGGATTTTGTAGGCTCAGTGTTAGCCAAAGAAGAGGTTCAAGTGATAATAAAGAGCAGAGGCATTTTATTTGAGCAAAAAGAGTTGCAACATGGGAGACACAGGTTCAGAGCAACTCAAAGGGCACTGTGGAGGAAGCAAAGGCAGGGATTTCTAAGGGCAAAAAACCGGCAAATGCAATTCCTTCATGCAAATGAAGAAGGATTGCTGGCTGTGTTAACAGGGATTGGTTAGTTTCAATATGCAAATGAGGGAGGTGAAACCGAGGAGGAAGGGGGTGGAGTCTCTGTGTCCTTGCAGTAGTGGTTCCAGCATGTTTTGGGATCAGCCTTAGCCAGTTTAGCAACAGGTGGAGCAACTTAAAAATAACAGCTCACAAAGCTGAGGCGCTGGGTGTGGCTAGGCCTCACTTCCTTAGTAGCCTTCTGACTCTTATTTTAAGTGTCTCTCTTAGTGATACTTATTCCGTTTCATTTTTCCCACTCTCAGTGGAATGCGATTCTCAGCTTTCTTTCCCTCGGAATAATTGAGATTCCTGTATGTTGCGGTGTGTGTCAATACTCTGTTCCTTTTCACTGCCGTAGCAGTTTCCGTTTTAGGGCACGCAGGCATTACGTGGTTCTGTTTGTACTTCAATATGGTTGTTCAGATTTGGGTATTTTGCAGACTTTTTTTTTGTTTGTTTTAAGTGAGTGTAGCAAGCTTGACACTTTAAAGAAAGCAGCTGACAGTGATGATCAGTGACACAAAATTTAAGCTTCGAAGGCAGACTTAGGAGGTCGGGACACCTGTGCCTGCAAGCTTGAGGTGACCCGACACCTCAGCTTCCCCGATCCCAAGCTTTCTGATGAGGTTGGTGGTGATATTAATTCGATTTTAGGTGTTGGGGATGCAACACACCAATAGATGGAAGTTCTGCATAACTCTGCTTCCACATACAAACCAATGCAATGTTTAAAGTCATTCACTTTTCAGATTCTGCTGACATGCAAGGTAGACCAAGGGGTTTCAAGGTCACAGAGTGCCAGAAGTTCATTTGTATGGTTTAATATTCCATTTTTAAATAACTTGTTAAAAAGACATGACCACTCATTGCGTTTTTGTGAATATCAAATAATAATGTTATAAGAAAAACTATTAAAATAATCTTTTTTTCTCTAACTACCAAATTTTTTGGACTGTAAGATACACTGGACCATAAGATGCACCCAGGTTTTAGAGGAGGAAAATAGGGAAAAATTTGGAAGCAAAAAATGTGGTAATATATTTAATAACATAAATAACATAGGCCACTGGCCCCCGCTGCCCCTGCGAGCCAGGTAGGCTACATTTGGATTATAAGATGCACCCCATTTTCCTCCCAAATTTGGGGGAACAGTGTTTTATAGTCAAAAAAATACAGTATGTGTCAGTGCGTGGCCAGATTTTATTCACATACTTTACTCAAAACAGCCTCCTGCAGCACATTGAACGCAGAAGCAGCCATAAGAATGGAGCAAGTTTCTGTTGATCAGACATTGAGGTTTTGAAAAATAAAATTAGAAAGAAAAAAATAAAATTAATTTCATAAAATATTTAATGTTTAATCTGCTTATTTTTAAATATATTTTATTGATTATGCCATTACAGTTGTTCTATTTCCCCCCCTTCATTCCTCTCCACCCTGCACACCCCTCCCCCACCATTCCTCCCCCTTTAGTTTATGTCCACATGTCTCAAGTTCTTTAGATTCTATATTTCCCATACTACTCTTGCCCTCCCCCTGTCTATTTTCTACCTACCGTCTGTGGTACTTATTTTCTATACTTTCTCCCACCTTCTCCTCCTCCCACTCCCCTGTTGCTAACCCTCCATGTGATCTCCATTTCTATGGTTCTGCTCCTGATCTAGCTGTCCTCTTAGTTTGCTTTTATTTTAGGTGTGATTGTTAATTGTGAGTTTGCTGTCCTTTCACTGTTCAAATTTTTATCTTCTTTTTCTTAGGTAAGTCCCTTTAACATTTCATATAATAAGGACTTAGTGAGGATGAACTCCTTGAATTTGATCTTATCTGAGAAGCACTTTATCTGTCCTTCCATTCTAAATGAAAGCTTCGCTGGATAGAGCAATCTTGGTTGTAGGTCTTTGGATTTCATGACTTGGAGTACTTTTTTCGAGCCCCTTCTTACCTGTAAGGTCTCTTTTGAGAAATCTGCTGACAGTCTGATGGGAACTCCTTTGTAGGTGACTGTCCCCTTATCTCTTGCTGCTTCTAGGATTCTCTCCTTCATTTTAATCTTGGCTAATGTAATGATGATGTGCCTTGGTGTGTTCCTTCTTGGGTCCAACTTTTTTGGGACTCCCTGAGCATCCTGGATTTCCTGCTTATTTTAAAAATTAATAATGTTTTAAAAGTTTGTTTTTATTTCAAATACGGTAAATGTTGACAGGTTAGAAGCCACATAAACAAAGACTCATTGAGGTCTGTCTTAGCTTGGGCTGCTATAGCAAAATACCTTCAACTGGATGGCCCATACACAACAGAAGTTTATTTCTCACAGCTGTGCAGTCTGAGAAGTCTAAGATCAAGGTGCTGGCAGATCTTGTGTCTGCTGAGAGCCTGCTTCCAGGCATTCTATAGATGCCTGTATACTCCTGTGTCTTCATATGGCAGAGAACAGAGATAAAGATCTCTTGTGGCTCTTATAAGGGCACTAATCACATGCATGAATGTTCTATCTCATGACCTCTTCTGCTGCTAATTACTTCCCAAAGGCCCCACTTTTTAATACCTTCATATGGGGGGTAGAGTTTCAACCTAGGAATTTAGGGGAAGGCACAAAACTTCAGTCCACAATAGGATCCTTAATATTTAGGAGTATGAGTCCTGAGACCAGGTATTTGAGAAGCAATAATTTAGTAAAACCTTTTTTTTTTTTGTGCTAGAGAAAGAAAGGTTAAGGAGGTACCTAGAATCTCCTAAGTTGGGGAAGTTTGTAGATTTAAATGAAGTGGGCAGGAAACCCTTCACCTGCAAGGAAACATTCTGACAAAAGTTCAAAGGAGGTGAGGGAGCAAGTTGTTTCTGGGAGCAGTAAACCCCAAACCCAAAATACAATATAGCTTAATTTTTTTGCCTGTGATTTAGAATTTTTTTTAATAGTTTTTGGTAGCCTCTAGGTCCTAAATATCTTTTATCTTCACTTTTTTAATTTGAAAAATGAAAATATTAATGTGAAGATCAGTTAACCTTATGTAATGAAACCTTTAAAAATATTGAATATATAATAATTTTCTCTGAATTGTTAAAGTCTGATCTTCAGATATGCAAGGGTAGGAACTCTATCCATGACACTGAGGACTTCATGGTTTTATTGAGCAAGCACTGGAGAGGTAGGTGAAGGAGACTGATTGAAATCCATGGAATATTTTTGTTTGTGGTGTAGGTTGGTGATCAATTTTCATTTTTTTACATGTAGCTGTCCAGGTCGCTCAACACCATTTGTTAAAGAGGCTATTTTTACTCCATTTTATGCTTCTGCCCCCTTTGTCAAATATTAATTGACCGTAGAGACTTGCGTTTATTTCTGGGCTCTCTGTTCTGTTCCATTGGTCTTTGTGTCTGTTCTTATGCCAGTATGAGGCTGTTTTGATTACAGTGGCCTTGTAATACTGTTTTATATCAGGTATTGTGATCTTTCCTACTTTGTTCTTTCTCAAAATTGCTGCAGCTATTAGTTAGGGGTTATTTATGGTTCCATACAAATTTTTGAAATGTTTGTTCTGTATCTGTGAGATATGTCATTGGTACTTTAACAGAGATTGCATTGAATCTATAAATTTCTTTGGGTACTATGGACATTTTGATGATGTTAATTCTTCCAATCCACGAACATGGTACATGCTCCCAATTGTTTGTGTCTTAATTTCTTTCTTCAGTGTTGTGTAGTTTTCTGAGTATAGGTCTTTTACCTCCTTGGTTAGGTTTATTCCTAGGTACTTTATTTTTCTTGTTGCTGTATCAAATGGGATTTTTTCCTGATTTCTGTTTCTGATATTTCATTGTTGGTGTACAAAAATGCCTTTGATTTCTGAATATCGACTTTGTATCCTACTGTTTTCCAAATTCACTTACTAAATTGAGTAGTTTCTTGGTGGAGTTAATAGGATTTGCTATGTACACTATCACATCATCTGTAAACAATGACAGTTTTGCTTCCTTCTTTCCAATTGGATGGCTTTTCTTTTCTTGTCTGATTGCTGTGGCTAGGACTTCCATTACTATGTTGAATAGGAGTAGTGAAAGCAGACATCCTTGTCTTATTCCTGATCTTAGTGGGAAAGCATGGATGGAACTGGAAAGCATTATGCTAAGTGAAATAATCCAGGGGGTGAAAGACAAACACCATATGATCTTACCTTTAAGTGGAACCTAATCAACAAAACAAATAATCAAGCAAAATATAACCAGAGACATTGAAATTAAGAACAATCTGACAGTAACTAGAGGGGAGGTGGGAGGGGATAATGGGGGGAAAGGAGTTCAGGATTTTCAGGAACAACTATAAAGGACACATGGACAAAACCAAGGAGGTGGGTGGAATCAGAGGAGGGAGGTAAGGATGGCTGAGGTCGGGGGCAGTGATGGGGGGTAAATACAGAGAACTGTACTTGAAAACCAATAAAATAATTTAAAAAATAAAATAATAAAAAAATGCATGGAATAGGTTATCCATGTACCTGAATAAGAATTTTTTCCGTAGTGAGACTCTTTGGTGAGCATTATATGGGACCTACAAATTTTCTTTTCATATGTCAGTTTTTAGAGGCTCATCCACATACTTCTTCAGATATCCTTGTAAGATAATCTTCTGCAAGACTAGAGGATTACTAATCAGCCTGCAGAAACTGTTAGGTGTTGCCAATTAATGTGCAGAGATTCACCCAAGTAATTTCTTCTGCAGGGAAAGTAGATGCACCAGTGGTCTCATCAACTGTGAATGTTTCCTCGTGTTTCTCAGGTTGGTCCTCCCCGGGGTTGGGACGCACCGTGTTAGCAGTCTAGTTCTGGAACTTCCTAGCATTAAGTCAGCATGTACAAACCAGGCTCAGATTTTTTTCACCCTTCTGCTGTGAAAGACCCCCTGAGGCCATTTGTATTTGAGGGGAGGGAGAGAAATGAGAAATGAGAAATTTCTCCCTTAAGAATATTAAGGGAGAGAGGTGTGGAGAAGGCTTCTGGTAGATTGAATAATCTGATTATGCAACTTCCTTAGATCTTTGGGCTTTCTTTGGCTTAACATGGTATAGACTACCTTAATGAAGGAATCCTTCTGGCTACATCTGCTTTTTGTGCTTAAAGACTGTTGTGGTTCTGAAAGATTTATGAACTCTTTTTCCTTTTCCCATTTACTCAGGTAAATAAATGGTCACATGACTCTTTGGATGACTGCCCAAAAGAATTTTCTTGGTATAGTCCAGCACAGGATCCTTTCTTAAGAGTACCTGGTCATCATTCATGTAAGGATTATAGTCTATAAACAGACAAATTGGGTGAAGGCCTGTCACCTTAAGTAATGGTGGCTTAAGAAGGCCTGTCTTGTTCTGAAGTGTTTTGGTTTATTCCAATCAAAATCTTCAGGGTATTGTCCATTGATTTTATTCCTAAGGATGCCAGGATGAAGTAAGCATAGCCTGGAATCTGTATAGATCAGACCATGCTGATTGCACAAAACATTAATTAATAGGATGAAATGCAAACCATAGCCAGAACTCTGATGTTCCTAAATCTTGTCTCTTTCTCTGGCTTTCCTGTGCCTATTTCCATTTGGACTTGGATTTCAAGTCTTTGATTAGAAAGGTCTGTTCTGTTATTTTTATCTCTGAGAGAACATTTATGCTTTGATAAGATTTTATATTCCTATTCTTCATGCTTCTCTTTCATCTTTTCTTTCTTCCCCCCTGAATTTTGGTGTATTCTCTCAAAAATGTATTTCTACCCCATGTATCTTTATTTTGTGTTAAAAATAAAAGCAGCTTCCCGTGCAGTTAAAATTTCTTTTTTATTTACTGATCTGAGTGAGACACACACACACACACACACACACACACACACACACTGATTTGTTGTCCCACTCATTTATGCATTCATTGGTTGCTCCTTGTCTGTGTTCTGACCAGAGATTGAACCTGCAACCCTGATGCACTGGGACAATGCTCCAACCAACTGAGCTACCTGGCCAGGGCTCCCATGCAGTTTTAACTTTCTCATGTGTATATAGTTCTTCCTAATCTTAGGTGTGGCACCTTAATAGCTACTTAGCCATATAAAGATGCATTATTCTCTTTTGGCCTTTTTGAAAACAGAAATTAGACTTTTGAAAAACAGGTCTTTGCTGTTTCCTGTCGGCACATTTATTCCTGAGGGGAGCATTTCCTTTGGTTTTTTAAGTGGTTTCCTAATTTTTTTTTAGATTCCATGTTTCTCTCATCCTCATAAAAAGAAATCGATAGTTGTCAGCTGTTAACTCACATCCAAATATGAATGGAGCTATATCCTGTTATAGTAGATGTTGGTTCTCAGATGAGTTTGTGGAATATTTATAGTTCTGAATGTTCACCTTGCCATTTAAAAAATTCTAACAATGTAGAGAAAGTGAGCAGAACTATAGGGAACTTTGCCTCTGCGCTAAAGAATTCTTCTCCTTCTCCTCTCCTTCCTCCATCTTTTTTGTGGCCACCCATGCCAGCAACAAGGCCTGGATGTACCTAACCTGCCTCAACGGTCTTTCACGGAAAGACCTGGGTTTCCTTTTTTCTGTCCAGGACTCCGCCTATTGCCCTCGATCAGAGAAGAATCCTGGAGTTGTATAGTGTTGCTGACAGGGTCCAAATAGTACTGATTCACGCAGAGTGGGGGGTGTAGACAGTGCCCCTATTGGTTCTCCATCTGCCCTTGCTTCTGGCACTCACTTCTTTGAATTACGGGTTGTTTCCCTGCATGAGGGAAAGTAGTTTTCTCACAGGAGCAGGAGGTCTTCAGTGGGCTTTTTGGGCTTCCTTCTATTTATACCACAGCTGCCTAGTATCCAGTAGAAATTTGTTAGTTCCTGGAAAGTAAAGATGATTCTTCTTTGTTTTACGATTATACACACACACACACACACACACACACACACACACACTCACATACTATATATATGTGTGTGTATATGTATATTTCCTGTTTTTGTATTCTCGTTATTTCAATAGGAAAATATGGAAGGCAATGAACCAATGCATTTTGTTTGTCTCTCTATCATCTTGTCCAGTGCATGTAATTTTTATTAACGTCCAGTTTGATAAATACAGGGATAGAATTATTTTTAAGGTTTATGTTTACATACCAATTTTATATAAGGCTAATCTCATTGAATTTTTACAGCTAATTGTCCAGAACCTAATTAGTACTTATTATTTGCTTTTTAGAACATGAATCCTTCATCTCCATTACCAACATTTTTAGATATGGATATGACAATATCACATATAGAAATTTGTCCAAAGGACATTCTGGTGAGATTTCAAGGCAGAAGTAACACTGAAAGTGAATTTGACTACCACATACTGCAAAGGGAAATACAGCATATTCCAAAAGTAAAAAAAAATGTGGACATCAATGAATTTTGTTTGGTAGAAGAAAGAGCATCTGGAGAATGGCAGAGAGGAAGAGTTTTGGAAAAGAAAAATGAACTCTACACAGTGCTCCTCATAGATCGTGGAGACGAACTCAGAGTCAGTAGTATGCAGGTCGCCTCGGCGTGTGGCAAGTTATTTGAACTACCACCACGGATAGTATTTGGTGTTTTTGCGAACATACTACCAGTTGGAGAAAAGTGGTCTCCGAGGGCTTTGAATTACTTCAAGTCACTAGTAGGCCTGCAGGTGAAAGGCTGTATACAAGCTTTGTTTCCTCTTCAAATGATTCTTCTTGAAGTGCCAAAAATTATATCCCAGGTTCTTGAATTAAAATTAGGAAGACTTATTGATGGGGATTCGTTTTGTCTTATTGTTGAAATGTCAAAAGAACTTCCACAACAAATGCCTGAGTTATTACAACATAAGAGCCCTGAATCATCACTAAGTAATAATGACACTTCACTTGATATCCAACACGTTCTGGATAACTTGCAGCCAACTTTGTCAGTAGGTAGCATCGAAAGTGTAAAGGTGTCATCGGCACTGAGCCCACGTAAATTTTACTGTCAGTTAATTAAATGGATTCCAGAGTTGGAAGACTTGACCGTGTGCATGAGTTTGCACTATGACATTCCCAGTCAGGAGAGCAGCCCCACGTGTGACAATTTTGGGCTACTTTGTGTTGCCAGACGGAGAGATGGGCGGTGGCACAGAGGCATCCTTCAGCAGCTCCTGCCCAATAATCAAGTGAGGATTCGGTTTATGGATTACGGCAGCAGCGAGACTATTCCCTCGACTCATGTAAAAAAACTGAAACAGGACTTTATTTCAGTGCCATTATTTTCATTTCCATGTTCTCTGACATATTTGCATAATCCAGATATGGACTCAAGGAAACTTCAACTCAGGGTATTTAAACAAGCTTTGTTAGGGCAAATAGTATATGCACACATCGATTGGCTCAATAAGGATGAACATGTGTATTATGTAACATTACAAACTCAAGAGCCTGCAATGAATTCTAAGTGTCCGCTGAAAACTTTAGGCACACAAGTACTTTGTCCAGTGTCTGACTTAAAAATCCCTAATATGTTGAGAGACACTTGTGCTTTTGATGTAAACAGCTTTGCAGTTGAGAGTTTCATTGGAAATACTGAACGGTTGATACACTCCTTAAAGAAAAACAATACTTTGAAAGTAGATTTTCCTATTAAAAATATAGGAATGGAGATAGACACTGCCTACATAGCTTCCGTGGCATATGTATTAAACCCATCAAATTTCTGGGTACGCATCAATGAACATCAGAATGAATTTCAAGATGTAATGAAAAACATAAACAAATTCTATGATATACATGAAAATGATGAACTAATTCTAAGAAATCCAGAGCCTGGCTTATTTTGTTGTGCACGATATAGCAAGGACAGGTGTTTTTACAGAGCTGTTGTCACTGAAATTAATGGTTCTAAGATCGATGTTTATTTTTTGGATTATGGAAATACTGACTCCATACCATCTTTTGATGCAAGAACTCTGCTTCCAGAGTTTTGTGAGTTGCCTGCCTTGGCCATGTGCTGTTCACTTGCACATATATTTCCTGTTGAAGATATTTGGGTGAAGGCAGCAACTGATTATTTTAAAAAAATTATCTTGAACAAAGAAATTTTGCTTCAAGTTATAGGAAAAAAAGATGACAAGTACACTGTAAATATCCAGAGTATTGAAGCCTCAGAAAATATGGATGTTGTCTCTCTTATGGTACAAGCTGGATATGCAGAATATTGGGAAGTAGAGCCAGAATGTTATCCACGACCTATATATCAGTGTTCAATGATAAATTTAAAATCGAAAAACAAAGTTCATATTAAAAAGATCTTATCTGCCCTTCCTAAAGGATGTAAACCTAAAAAATCTTATTCAAATAAGCTAAAAGAAAGTAATTTGTCTTTGTTAAAGTCGCCAGCTGTTAATCTCTCAAATTTCAAAAATCCTTCCACCGTGTCTGTACATCCTGAGTCACCATGGCCTTATAAAGAATATATGTTTAAACCAGGAACAGCCCTTGAAGTTAAGTGTTCTTATTCCCGTGGCCCAGGTGACTTTTCATGCCAGCTTCAGTGTAAGTTAGAAGACCTAAAATTACTGATGGAACAGATTCAGACTTACTACAGCATTCATCCCGACCCTTATCAGATTGGGCAGATCGCGTGTGTTGCTAAGTATTCCAAAGACAGGAAGTGGTACAGAGCTGCTGTTTTGACTCAAGTATCAAATAAAGAAGTCGATGTGGTATTGGTTGATTATGGTTATCAGGAAAGAGTTTTAATTAAAGATCTTTGTGCGATTAACCCACATTTTCTTTTTTTAGAAGGCCAAGCCTTCAGGTGTAGACTTAACCATTTGGTTGACCCCACTAGTTGTACCTTACTAAGCTGGACAGAGGAAGCATACAGAGACTTTGGGAATTTTATTTCTCGGTCTAGAGGGTTATTGACTTGTGTCATCTGTGCCTTGATTATTTTACATTCAAACCATTTATGTAATTTGGTGGATTTACAGTCTCCACTTACCAGTGCAAAAGAATTTCTTATTAATCATGGCTCTGCCCAGTATAGTACGTTATTAAAGCCATTCCCATCTTCAGTTAGTCTTTACAGTTACTGTTATTCCTCCTTTAATATAAAAATTGGAAGTGAGGAAGAAATGTATATTTCCCATATATATAGTCCCAAAAAGTTTTACTGCCAACTTAGTAGAAATAATAAAGACCTAGAGATGATAGAAACAAAAATCACCGAGATCAGCCTCAACAATTATCCAAAATATTCTAGCAAAAAGAGATTGTGCTTATGTAAATATGCAGAGGATGGTCTGTCTTACAGAGCTTTAGCAGTGCCGAAGTCAGGTTCATTTTCTGACTTTCTAGTTTATTTTGTGGACTTTGGAAATAAGCAGTCAGCAGAAGGAAGTATGTTGAGGGCTATTTCCGATCAGTTTCCAGAGTTGCTGTATATACCTGTGCAAGCTGTTAAGTGCTTTTTGTCAGACCTTAGAGATGTAGACATTCCAGCAGAAATCAGTAGTTGGTTTGAAGATAATTTCTTGGGGAAACCATTAAGGGCAGTGGTACTGTCCAGGGAGTCAGACGGCCAGCTTGGTGTAGAATTGTTTGATGGGTATCAACATATAAATCAGAAAATTAAAATGCTGCTTCATGCATATGGAAAAAAACATTGTGACCCAGGACACTGTATGGAAAAGGGTCATAAAATAAATGAGAACAAGAGACTTGCTGTTTCTTTGAAAGGCAAAATAGAAAACTATCACCATGATGTGATGAATAAACCTTGTCTAGTAACATATTCTGAAAGCAAAATACATCAGTTAATGAATTCCAAAAGTATATATGCCAGGCTTTTGAAACCATCAGTTTGTTATAAAATTGAACCTGGGTCTAAAAACAAAGTAAAGAAGTCTTTGAACAGTAGAGTTAAAAATAAAGGTGTAAAAATTGTCCCTGGATCCGCACCTACTGATAAAAATACTGTGGGTGAGGCATCAGCAAGGGCTGGATCACAGTCTTGTATCAGAGAATTACACCAAGTAACTTCACAGAACCTGTGTAGTCTTGCAAGACCACAGATGAAAGACCTTCCTCAACCCCAAATTTACTTGAATGCCAAAGTTAAAGGCTATGTTTCTAATATCAGTAACCCAGCAAGTTTCCACATTCATCTTGCCGAGAATGAAAATTTAATCATCAGACTTGCAGATGCTCTAAATGAAAGAAGAGCAGATATAGCGAATGAGAGAAAATCAGTTCAACATAGGGTGGGAGATCTTGTCATTGCAGAATATTCTGCTGACAGTGCCCTGTACAGAGCAGTAATTAAGAAAATTTTGCTAGGAAATTTATTTGAAGTGGAATTTATTGACTATGGCAATACCGAAGTAGTAAACATATCTAAAGTTTATGAACTTAAGAGAGAATTCTTAACTATTCCTCAGCTAGGAATCCATTCTTTCCTTAGCGGAGTGAAGTGGAATGAACCTGGTGACATATGGGACCGCAAAACTGTAGATTACTTTGCTTCCACAGTAAGTGACAGAGCAGTTTCCTGTGAATTTCTGAAGAAGCATGAGCAGAAGTGGGAAGTAAATATAATTTGTGATGAAAAAAGTGTCATTAATGAACTACTGAAATGGACAGCCTGCTCAAAATTACAGAAAACAGCGTTGCAAATGCCTCAGGTGGTTTCTAAGCAGGTAAGCCCTGGTAGTGAGAATGAAATAAAGGAAGGAAGACCCTGTGGATCTGAAAGTCCTGGGCTCCTTCAGCCATCTCACCAACAGCTGGTTACCATCCCTTTTGAGCACTTAAGACCTGGACAACTCGAAGAGGCTGAAATTCTTGATGTTTCAGAAAGTGGGGAATTTTACGTGAAGTTATCTAAAAATAAAAAGAAATTATCAGATTTAACAGAATCAATTGCTGAAGAAATAAAAAAACCCCTTTCATCAATGGAAAATATTGAAAAAGGCTTAGAATGCTTGGCAAAATCTGAAAACACTTTGAAGTGGTATCGATCAAAAGTAGAAGAAATGCGTGTTGAGGAGAAAGTGCTTGTTTTCTTAGTGGATTGTGGTCGATATGAAATCGTGCCTTCAGGTAATATCAGGGTGCTCAGAAATGAGATCAGAAATATTCCAAGACAGGCTGTGCCTTGTAGATGGATTTGGTCTGAAAATTTTAGGAACATGCCATTTGAGTCCACTGTGCATTTATTTGCTCATTTGGAAATAGACATCCTCTTCCTGAAACATGTAGACTCTGCCTGGGAAGTGGAAGTTTTGGTAGATGGCCTGTTACTTTTGGAATTTTTAAACTCCCATACAGTTCATGTTGAAGAAAACAAACTTAGATCTTCAGAAATTATTTTTGACGTGACACCTAGGACTCCAGTGTTGCCACACACGATGAGATCCTTTACCAGGGCGCAGCTCGAGAACGGGAGGCGATACTCTGGCATTGCCACCGCTGTTGCTGATCCGTCAGACTTCTGTGTTCAGCTGGAAGAGTTCTTTGACACAATGAAGTCTGTTTTTACATTGCTTTCTGATCTGCCAGAAAACTTACCAGCAGTGTCTCCAGAGCACATACTCTCTGGTTCTAGTTGTTTGTTCAGATGTGAATTAGAAGATCAATGGAATAGAGTAGAAATTTCTCAAGTTTCTGATCAGTCTTTACTTATCGTGCTGGTTGACTATGGATTTTCCGTTTACATACCTTATTCAGATGTAAACAATCTTAAAGTTGTTCCCGAGGAACTTCTGAATTTGCCAAGGCTGAGTTATCCTTGTGTCTTACATGGGATCTTACCTGCTAAAGGGAAACATTGGGATAAGGAAGCCAAAAATTGCTTCCTAGATTTCCTGAGTAAACCAGGCTTAGTTTTTCAGTTTAGGGAATATAGTTTTGAAACAAAACTGAAAGTAGATGTCATTTGTGACAAAAACAATCTGGCCGATATCTTAGTTGCATCTGGTCTTGCAATGTATTCTGAAGATTCAGATCATCTTGACATCACTTCTACTGGATCTACTAAAATGCAATACGAATTACAGAGGAAGCCTATTTGCCCATTGTTAGGTCACAGTTGTTACAAAAGAGAAAGTATCAATCATTCACGCACCAAGAAACAGAAGCCCAGAAAGCAGAAAACTGTAAATAGGAAAGATGTCTGTAAGAACCTCTTAAGGAAAAGCCAAAAACATAATCCCCAAAGCGCCTTTACGTTTGATGAGCGAGCTGCAGCTTCATTCTGGGAACGACCTAGTGGTTTGAAGAACAACACCAATTGCATTGAAAACCTATTTGAAAAGCTACCAGTTGAAGAAATACAGAAAAATAACACAATGGACCTGAATACAGCCATAAAGGCACTGCATGCTAGTGAAAAAACAGCAGGAGAACAGTTAAAAGGTAAGTAGCCATTTTTAAAAAGTAGATTCTTTTTTGTACATTCTGTTTTTGATTCTTTAAAAGTTTAAGTACAGAAATTATCTAAATTGAACATATCATGCACAAGAAAATTTATTAGGAAACCTGAGTAAATGAGTAAGCTGGGAGTGATCACTTGAAGGATACAATGATGCTTTGCTCTACCTTTTTTGAGTGGTAACCTGCATGTTCATGTTACATATGTGTACATTTTACAAATAATTTCAGGGGTTTGACAAAACTGATGGTCCACAGATCTCAAGTTAAGACATTTGCTGCTGTGATTAGTGAGCTTCCCAGGCTCACTTTGAAAAATCAGTTTTCTATCATATATTTTTGTCAGAAGAAATATATCTTTATTTAGGTATTTTGTGTGCTTTTGGCACATTGTTAATGCAGTTAAGTTTACAGAATAAACTGGCTAGCACATTTTTTTCTTAAAAGGTGTAGACATCAAGCTGATTCTAAAATACTAAAATTTTACTATTTTATGTGCTGTAGCATTTTCTGATCCTGCTAGGCTTGTTGTGCTTCATTTTCTGTATGGAACAGTTCCCAGGGAAGTTGTAGGCTGTGAAGGATGTTCCCTGCCTAATGAACATTTGTTCTGACTTCAGTGCCTTATATAACCAGTAACAGATTATTATGTTTCTTCAACAAGTGGAGGTCTCTTTTTTATTGATGCATTTTAGAAAGGATGTTACATTTGAATTGATATTTAGGTACTTTATAATGATTTTATAAATGCTTTTTATTTTTGAGTCTTTTATTATTTCATTAGAAATAACGAAGTCAAGTTAGAGTGCTCACTATGTTCCAGGTACAGTGCTCGGAGTTTGTATGTGTTACCTCATTTAAAGCATACCATGACTCTACAAAGTAGGTCGATAACTAATGTTCAGATGGAGACTAATAAATAGTGGCCCAGGTCCCTGCCTGAATTCTAAACCATTTTAGTGAGAGATGGGAGAAAGGCAACCGATGCGCAAAATATCACATTTATTTAAAAAGCCAAAAGCAACATTGATGAGTGTGGCTTATCTCCATGGGAAAATGCGGTTACCGATGAAAAACTGCTAGACTTACCCACATGGACACAAAAGAGACTGTCTTCCAGTGAGGGGCCTACTCCAAACGTACAGATCAAGTCAATTATCTCCAAAAAGAAAGGGAGGGCAGAGAAAGAGGCGAATCTAACATCAACCGTTTTTCCTCTAAATGGACCGGGCAGATTGCTCCCACTTCCCGCAGTGGGCATGCGGGAGCCAAAGGGGGAGGCAAGTGTTATGCCAGGAGAGTGCCTCACTATTTGGTGCGAGGCCCAGAGAAATGAGGTAGGTCACCCAGGGATATAAAACTTCCCATCTAAGGAACTGAGATTTTAAACTCAGATGTCTCCAGCTCCAAAGTCTGCTTTTATTCATTATTTATATTGCCTTTTGAAAAGTAGTTAGGCTTTTCAAAGAAGTGTTTTCTATAAATGCTTGGTTATTAGTCCATATTTTTAGTGCTTCTTATGTCATATTATTCCTTGTGTGTATTTATACCTTCTTTATATTTTTCCCATAAAATTCTTTTTTAAAAAAACAATATTTATAATGATATATTATAATAAAAGTTATGTGAGTTTAGTCTCTCTCTCAAAAATACCTTATGGTACTGTACTTACCTTTCTTCTTGTCTTTTCTTTAGTGTGTTTTATTGATTATGCTATTACAGTTGTCCCATTTTTTCTCCCCTTTATTCCCCTCTGCCCTGCACCCCGCCTCCCCCCAGCATTCCTCTACCTTAGTTCATGTCCATGGGTTGTACAAGTTCTTTGGCTTCCCCAATTCTCATATTATTCTTAACCTCCCCCATCTATTGTTGTACCTACTATTTATGCTTCTTAGTTCCTGTACCTTTTCCCCCATTCTCCCCCTTCCCCTTCTACCCCTTTCCTGCTGATAACTCTTCATGTGATCTCCAGTTCTGCGATTCTGTTCCTGTTCTAGTTGCTTAATGCCTTTTTTTTTAGGTTAAGTTGTTGGTAGTTATGAGTTTGTTGTCATTTTACTGTTCATATTTTTGATCATCTTCTTTTTCTTAAGTAACTAGTCCCTTTAACATTTCATGTAATAAGGGCTTGGTGCTGATGAACTCCTTGAACTTTACCTTCTCTGGGAAGTACTTTATCTGCCCTCCTCAAATCAACGATTTGGAGCAGAAGGAAGAAGTAAACATTCAACCAGAACAGAATGGAGAAACAAGAATTCAAAAACATGAGGAGAGGCTTCGGAACCTCCAGGACAACTTTAAACATTCCAACAGCCAAATCATAGGGATGCCAGAAGGAGAAGAGGAAGATCAAGAAATGGAAAACTTACTTGAAAAAATAATGAAGGAGAACTTCCCCAATCTGGCAAAGGAAATAGACTTCCAGGAAGTCCAGGAAGCTCAGAGTCCCAAAGAAGTTGGACCCAAAGAGGAACACACCAAGACACATCATAATTACATTACCCAAGCTTAAAGAGAAGGAGAGACTCTTAAAAGCAGCAAGAGATAGGGGGACAGTCACCTACAAAGTAGTTCCCATAAGACTGAGTCGATTTTTCAAAAGAAACCTTGCAGGCAAGAAGGGGCTGGAAAGAAGTCTTCAAAGTCATGAAAGGCAAGGACCTACATCCAAGATTGCTCTATCTAGCAAAGCTTTCATTTAGAATGGAAGGGCAGGTGAAGTGCTTCTCATAAAATTCTTGAAGAGTCTACTTTTGGCCCCCACCTCCATCCCTCCTCTTTCATTCCTAGCATACAGTGAGTCAATCGATAAGTGAATTAAAATGAAATAGCTGTTGCAAAGGCAGTTTGAAGACCAAGTATTAAATTATACTTCTAAAAATATTTATTTATTTTCTAGAGAGGGGCTAAGTGAAAGAAAGAGAGAGAGAGATACATCAACATGTGAGAGAAACCTTAATTGGCTGCCTCTCGCACTCCCCTAAGCAGGAACCTGGCTTGCAATACAGGCATGTGCAGTCTGGTGATCTTTCAGTTTGCGGAATGATGCCCAACTCACTGAGCCACACCAGTCAGGGCAAAAATAAAAATTTTGAAGTCCATTCAGGGAAAAACCATAACTTCGATAAGACGAATATAAGAAACACAATTTTGTGGACTAAGAATAGGTCAATATACTTGCTATAGTCAAAGTTTTCAAACAGAATAAGGAAAAAACCTGGTTTTATTGCCTCAAATACTATTCAAGCTTCACTACCACCATCACTCATCTGAGGGTAGTAGTAACCACTGCTGTTTGCCACGATTCCTGCCTGTAGGTGCTCTGCAGAGTCTGGGGTAGCATGGTAGTACTCGGTTGAAGACATCAGTACTTGAAACTCTCTTGCCTATTAAAACATTTAGGAAAGAGGCTCTAACAACAGTGCTTCTCAACCTAGGATTTGCATTGGAATTCAGAAAGGAAACTTTAAAACATTCTGATTGGCTGGATCTCATTTTTAGATTGTTTCAGTTGGTCAGGCTGTGGCCTTGCCCTTAGGATCTTAAGCTTCAGGTGCTTCTGATGTGCAGCCAGGGCTGAGATTTGTGGATAACTTGCTGAATCATTTTGTGAGAGAAAATAATCCTGAACTCTGGGTGGAACTGTTTGGACTCTGTCCCTCTGTATTTGGAGTCCATACGATACATTGAGTTGCAGCAATTCTGTACTAAACTGAATTCAGAGTAAATACAATAGTAAAAATGTCATTGTGCTAGAAATGGAGAAGTATGATGCAGCTGTTTTATCTTGACCAGATATTGTTTTAATTACAGAAGTTACCACCCTTACCTTTAGAAAATTTCGCCCTTACCTTTAGAAAACTTTCTTAATTTTCCCGTGGTTTCAGCCTACTATAACATAGCAATATTTAATTTTTCAAGATAATTGTTTTTATTTGCAAACTTTCTCCAAAAGTTAGTGGTCCCTTTTCAGGATGTTTTGTAGGGTTTTGTGTGTGTGTTGGTTCCTTGCTCATTTATTCTTGAATAAATCATTATGGGAACTAGAGAATATGCCAGCCTTTTTTGGAAGAGCACAGAATAGCTGGTCAGTCTTTGGTAAGGAGGTGATGCTCGGCGTTGATATGCACTTATTTCTCTGGTAGTTAACTCTGAAGAAATCTGGAGTGGCAACCACTTTTAGAAAGGAGTGTTTTATCCGATGACTTGAGGTAACATATAGGCACCCAAAGAGTGCCTGACAGACATGTGGAATGTCAGAATGGAGTTTTAAAGTAAAGAGTAGTGAGGGGTGCGCGTTTATGAATTAGTTGCACTGAATCTGGCATGGCATAAAAAATTTTCAACCTATCTGTGCCTCAGTTTCTTCATCTGTAGATCATAATAACAATTACTCCATTGGCTGGTTGTGAAGAGTTAAATATGTTAAAACATGTAAATTGTTTTTACTAGTACCTGGAACATAGAAAATACTGTTAGAAGTATAAATAATCATTATAAGAAATCTACTATCAATTCATTTGTTTTGAAATATATTTTGGAAACCAGTAACTTAAATTTCTGACACTGCTCTGCAAGAAGCAAATAGGACAGTGAACACACGTGTACACATACATACATTTGCAGAGTAATGGTTAGATTAATGGTTAAATTTCTATTTTGAGATAGAATTTATGAATAAGAGACAATTACAGTTTTACATAAAGACTGGAATAGGCTGTATATATTTTTATTTTTTTAAAATATTTTATTTATTTATTTTTCGAGAGAGGGGAAGGGAAGGAGAAAGAGTGGGAGAGAAACATCAGTGTATGGTTGCCTCTTACACATCCCCTGCTGGGAACTGGCCTGCAGCCCAGGCTTGTGCCCTGACTGGGAATCGAACCGCGATACTCTGGTTCACAGGCCCGTGCTCAATCCACTGAGCTACGCCAGCCAGGGCTATGTATATATTTTTAGAAAGTAGGTAAATAGCACTAATTATT